TACACCCCCGCGCTGAATTCAACCCCCCCATCCCCGCTACTGCCACCATACCCTCGCTCCTAGTCCCCCCCAGCGAACTCACCCCTTACTCCTTGTTACCCTCTTTCAAAGTCAGGGACGACGTCTTGCTAGGTTCCGTCGGCTCCTTGCGTCCTCTTCGCAACGAAATTCCCGAATTTCGCAAAACGTTAACATCTTGCGACGAGTCGTACGTTCGGCCGTGTTATACCACTGTCTAGGACATCCTGGATGCTTCCGATGATCCCCGCGATATCGATCGTCGGACAAGACTTTCCGCCGAACGACGATACAAGGATACCGAGGCCACTTTAGGCCGCTGATCCGTGCAAACAAATTAGACAACGATCAGCAGCGGCAAGGAGGAAAAGTTTGACCCGGAAAGCGTGAGGTCGTTGGGTGTCCGCAGCAAGACATCCGTCACTGCGAGAAGGCGCTTCCTCCTCTCTCCGGCTTACGCACCTGCACACACGTGCGTTAAAAAAGGCGCTTGCCCACGCTTACACACGCGCACCCGTCCGCCTACGGACAGTCCGCACGGTCTCTCGCCGTCTTGCTCGCGATTCGGCACGAGTAGTCCTCTACCCCAGTTCACAGTCGTTCCTACGGCCCTACCGTAGGCTTGGCGAGGGTGAAAGGTTCGGGAGGGAAGAAAGCCGAAAGAAAAGACGGGGAACGAAGTCGAAACGGAAAGAGAAAGTGAGGAAAAGTGGGGGGGCTGGACGGGGGGACGGCGCGCGCTCGGGGTGGCATTTTTACTGGTCACTCGGAATTCGGTTCTCCCACCACCGCGGAATCAGATGACTCTCCCCTCGAGCCTCTCTCCCCGCCCCTGGCACCCTAACCACCTCACCCCGAGGTATCCGTCTGCCCTGACCCCGTGTCACCCCACTTCAGCCTCTAGCCCGGCAACTACCCTCACGCAGCAAATTAGTTTAGCCTCACGGACAAGACCGGACTGGTGCAAGCCTCCTCTCAGGAGTTTCCTTCCATTCCACGAGAAATGACGCGCAGAATCTTGCGAGATACACTCGCACCTAGACCAATCGGATATCTTTTTTTTTTTCGAAAAGTACTCGGGGGAGTTTGCGCGATGACTGGCCGAAGGCTGTTCGACTCTCGTGCTCGCGTTCTGATACTTTACGATCCGCTTCCCCCCTCGAGCAACTTGCGCGGACAGTCTCCGTTTCCCTTAACGACAATATTTCGCGAATGTTCATCGCGGCAAATATATTTTAGCGGTCGAATTAACGGTCGAAGTATCTGCGGCGTTCGTTGAACTCGTTTCGGATCGGTCGTCGAAATGAAATTCAACAAGTGCCTGATTTACGAGACAGCCGTCGTTCCTCCGTAAACGAGTATAAATAATTAACGGTTGCAGGCAGATTCAACGACACACGGTCGTCCCGCGCTTGATTGTATACGGCAGCTCTTTCGTTTCGAATGAAATTGCTTTGTCAGCTCCGATTCGCCTTCCGGCCTGCTAGCTGACACTTTGCTTGCAATTTAATCGCGCGCCGCCATGCCCATAATGCTATGTTGCGTGTCGCTCGTTGCACCCGTTCCGTCCCGCACCTGTTTCGCGAAATGCTTTCTTTCGTACGTTGATAAAAAAATATCGACATGATCGTGTATAATTCAAAAAATAAATTAGACCGACTGGCCAGAAACGTACCAGCGAACGCAGGGGCGTTCCGCTCTGCGGTCGCACACTTGTCACGCGATTCTATGCGGTATTGATAATGATAATGAAGTCGGTTCGATTCGCATTGGCTGTTCAAAATTAATGATATTATCGGAGAAACTCTGCGAGTCGTAGGCCAATAATTTCGAATTGCATGGCGCATTTCAATTGGCGGGCCGCGTCTGCCTAGACCGGTGCTCGTTTTCCCAACTGTCGTTGTTGCCCCGTTACCTAGGGTACGAGCACGCGCCGCATTCGATGATCTTTCGATGATGAATACCACGTTTCTGCGTTTCCGACCGGATCGGATCACACGCTATCTTATGCTTGCGCAATTATTCCGCTGCTGTTGGCTTAATGGAAATGAATGGACTTTTTATTAACACTTGTCATTCCAAGCATATTTTCATGTTATCAGCAGATTGCGAGTTTTTATGGAGTATCGATAGTCTATTGGATTAATTGTAAGATTCAGATAAGTAAAAACTTCTTTATTTCTTAAATCATTTTATCCCTCTGCGCTTCAAGCCGTTTTAATACTAAACACGAAATAGTTATGCTTGCCTACAGTATTTCCATTTTACATGACTAAGCCCATTTTATGCACATGAAATTGAACATTTGATAATGTCAACATTATTTTGGAATGTGATGTAACAAATTTTAGTGGCGCTTCAGAGTTATCGTTCCAATGCAACGAGTCGATAAGCAGAAGTAAATGCGTTGATATTCTTAAATTGTTATGATTTTTACAATATTTGAAATTTCAACTCATTTTTGTTACGAATCCAGCATGCCTGCGGTGTAATGAGTAAGTCAAATTTCAAAGTGTGAAAAGATTAAATCAATTTAAGAACATCAACGTAATATTTTCTACTGATTACGATTTTGTTAACCCTCGGACTCCTGAAGCGCAGCCTCCTGTGCCGGAGTCATTTCTGTGACCAACATTGATATTCTACTAATACATATTTGCGGTCCTCCCCACTCTTGCTCGCCGTTACTCCGGCACAGAAGACGGAGGATTGGACGGAGAATAAAATTTGTTTTCATCGTTTGTGCCTTACAATTGAGGCAGACAATTTTTATTTTACATAAAGATCCGCAGTCCAGTGATCATTAAGGTCGACATAGAAATGGGTTAATGCACAAATCTATTATTCATGTTCTAAGAACAATTCGATCTTGACAATGAAGTTCTATTTTACATAATTTTATGTCACTTATACTGCTTACACTGCTTCACTTCCACAAACGTATCTTAAATATTTCACTTTGGTTATAAGTTTCCTTTGCGTCAATTTGTAAAAACTATGCAATATAAAATAGAGAAAAAACAAACACTTTTGATGGATTCTTTTATTTGAATTTAAACGAGGAGTTAGATAATCAGTGTGCGCCAAAACCATTTTGATCATTCTCGAAGCGGGAAAGCTATATGTGTATCAGCGGTCCTTATACTAATCTTTTAACACATCCTGAACTGATTGATTATACTGATACTAAAGTACATGTCGGAAATGTTTTGTTTCATTCAATCTGATGAATTTCTCGATACTTGTTATCGCATCAAAAAATTCATGTTGTTTTTGAAAGAGAAAAAGCAGAACTTATCATTTTATGTTAAAAATAATATAAAATTCCGAGTTCAATTGCGCTTGAAACATAATTGGCAGAGTCTGAAAGTGGCTCACAAA